TGTTTTGTTTGGTATTTACTTTGAACGACAACAGAAGTGACGTCATGCAGGATCGCATAGTGCACCTTTAAGCAGTTAATCACAGAGGAAAACAAATCAAGAACGATTTAGTTGGGAACTGCCTGTACAAGGGAGCATTTAAAACAGCCAATTACTGCAAACTAAAATCCAACTATAAAACCTGAACCTGTTATTTGCGCCAAACTTTAAATAATATCTACAGAGTTTCTGTGTGTGGAAAACCTCTCGTGATTTCTTACAACAGTATTTTGGATTTGACTCTTTTTCTTTGATCTTGACTTGGGCGTAACCCTTGATTTGGCCAGGCCGGGTTTCTACCAGGGGGTCTCGGCTGCACCTTCACCTCAACTCATACTTCTGCTGCAGGTTCTTCTATTTTCCTTTTCCCTGATGCCACAATCCCAGTCAGCCCTCACCAACCCTCCCTGCCTCTCTCCTGCCACAGCTTCAAAGGCCTCCCCTGGGACTCGGACGGTTCCCGGCTCATATGTAAATGCCTCTAAATTAAGTAGCCACAGGACAGAGCGACTCAGATGAAAAGAGCATGAGTCAAGAGCATGCAACGCATGTACAATCATGGCTCATGAGCACCTGTTTATCCAAACAGAGCCCGGCGAAGTGAGACGGTGTATAGACGGAGATTACGTGTCCACCGGGAAGCTCTTTTCACAGCGCTGGCTTTTGCGCTCATTATTTCCAAAGCAAACGACGCACTGTTGCATATTCCTGACAGCACCGGGAGCTTAACAGTGTTTTCGGTGCTCAATCTGGTGAGCATTAAAAATTCAAAATGTCTCAGCTTTCGGCAAAAGAGCGCCATGCCTCAATTGAGTTTTCAATTGTCACTCCACACCAACTAGAGCCAGAAGCAGTTACAGTTCAAAAGTAAAGGGGCTTTCTGTGTAGTTTTTAATCCTTTGATCATTTGAATTAAGAAGATGAATCTCAGAGAGAGTTTTTTATATTTTAGTACCACAAAATACATTTAGTTTAAAAGTGTTGGAGATTGTTTTTCTTACTCTGACACATGACAGACGTAAAATATAAATCTGTGGGGATTAGTAGAATTAGGCAATTGAACCAAATCAAATTAGCAACAGAGAAAGAAAAAGAAAAGTACCTCTCAGCACAGGTTTTATTTTTCATCATCTCTACTCCACACTGCAAACCGTCTCTCCATCTATTCAACTCTCCTAATAGACCTTTTCACTGTGCATATTGTAACCTGTTACAGCAGGAAACGCACAGGTGCAACTAATGACATTAAAAATGGCTCTGATCCATTCAAGTGTACCAGCACCACCCGGTGTCATCCCCAAGTCGTCAAATACTGCACGCTGATCAGTGGCCCTCTGTAGGTACCCCTATAGTGCCATACATGGGTGCACCCCCATCACAGTCAGGTGACGTAGTCTAAAGAGCATATGGCAGCAGTGGGGTGGATGGACTGCTCAAACAAACAACCCAGTAGGAGTCTACCCTTTCCTCTACTTTATTTCAGTTACACAATTTATATCCTAAACCAAACTGCGACCATTTTGCAACGTTAACAACACCAGCACTTTGAAAGTCTATCTGGATGTTGTATATTTATTGTTGCTAACTTGACTGCAGAGCCCTGTCAGTCCAGAAGTGATGTTATAGGGGTATCTACTAGGGATGTCACAAGAACCTTCCCGCCTCCCACTGACCAATCAGCAGTATTTGATGAGGGAGTGGGAGTGTGTTGATCAGTAAACCCATGACAGTGAGCCAGCACCAAGGCATCATTAATGGGACTAATTACAGTGACTTCCTGCTCTGACCTAAAGAACGATTAAATGCCCTGTTCACAAATTATTATTATGGTTACCAGCACCACAATAACCCTGATAAGCACAGTTTTTGTAATGGTATTAGTGTTAATACATTACGCATACATACATACATACATTTTCATCACGGATTAGCAGCCATTCTGACATATTTTACTTTATACTTCATTTTGCCAAGTGTGAGATACCATAGCTGTCAGATAATCCCCACACACACACACCTACCCACTCCTCCTACCTAGGAGGACAAGTGAGTATAACCGTGTGTGCAATAAGATATGAACGCAGCCTTATTGTGTCACATAACCTCTGCATCTTCCACCAGAGCAGGGGGATTGAAATAGCAAACACGCTCATAGAAATAAAAACAAATTATATAAAAATTTTAAACTTTGACGTACCATTGACACACACACAGCCAATTACACAACATAAAGGATGCTATTTCTGAGCAACCATATGGCAGGCCTTGAGGAACAGATAGTCCATTTCCAAAAATAATGCACAGCAAGGTTGGAACAAACAAAAACAACCACCACATGCCATTATTTTGATACTCAGATAGATGGGAGAGAAGGAAACTTCTGGCACAGAAAGCAGGAGCTCAACTGCCCCAACAATCGTAAAAGTTGTTGCAGATAAACGAGGTGACAAGATGCTGGTGGTATGCCGACATTTTGGCTGCTTGAAGTTCAACATAAAACACATTGGTGATGTATTTTGTAAACTCTGCTGAAAGTCTGACAGGAAATGCAACAAACTTTACCTGAAGTGTCATTATCCAACTGCCTTACAGTCGCAAACAATAGCAATTAGACTCATCCGCTGGACAGCAAAGAATTCGTACGACAGTGGTTCCCAACCTTTTTCCTTAAAGGACCCCTTTTCCATCATTGAGTAAACTGAAGATCCCTGACTAAGGTAACGGGATGGACAGCACTGCTCTCTGACAATTAAAACACCAAACTAACACAGCAGCAATACCTGGTATTAGAGTAAAATGTGATCTGTATCCCGCCACGTTATCCAAAAAGGAAAAACACATGTTAATGTAAGATGTAACTGCATCATGATCGCATCTGGAGGTGGTGTGGCGAGACAGATATCTGATTTTAGCTAACATCAAACTTAGAGAGCGAGCAAGTGAGAAGGCTGAAAGAGACAGTCCTCTAATTACTGATCATACATCTATTCTGTGCCATGAAAGCAGCCAAAGATGCGTTATTCAAGAGAAATGCATAGACAAATTAATGAAATATAGTAATAAATAACTGTCTGTGCAGCTTATCTGCGGTTCACATGGTTGATAATTTATCTAGACTCGTCTACACGGCGGGACACACTGACACAATATTTTTATACAAATAAAGGAATGACTTATTACATTTGCCGAATTTACAAGAGGGGACAAATATAGAACTTGATTTATATCATCATATTCTGTATATCGATACTGACTGACTGAAAAAGGATCGTAATAACATTTTCTGACATGTCACTGAGCACCATGGACTTTATAGTCTTTTGATTACTAAATGTTTTTATCCACTCGTGTTTCCATCACATCTTCCATCCCTCCACCGCTGCTACAATTTCACTTTTTGATCATTTATGTTCATCCAATCCCTCTTTAGGCTTTTATTAAGCCAA